TTTTTTGCGGTACGCGGGCCTCTCACTGCTGTGGCCTCTCCCGTTGCGGAGCACAGGCTCCGGACGCGCAGGCTCAGTGGCCATGGCTCACGGGCCCAGCCGCTCCGCGGCATGTGGGATCCTCCCGGACCGGGGCACGAACCCGCGTCCCCTGCATCGGCAGGCAGACTCTCAACCACTGCGCCACCAGGGAAGCCCAATTAATTTAATTTTTAAAAAACCACCTGGGCTTACAGAGCTCTGGCTTCTCAGATATTGCCAAACTTCTCCCAACCTCTTCCTTCCAGCATTTATGTTTTCTTCCTTCTCTCCTTCAAAACAATCACTCCTTTATTCCCTCTGCTATAGCCACTAGAAACCAACCTCACACCCACCCCTTTCCTGATCACAAAATCCTCGGAGATCTCAGAGTAACTTCTCTTCCCCAGTAGGAGGCAGAGACCTTGTAGCTGGAAGTTCTTTGGAAATTGTCATCAGCTTATGCAACTTAATGGGGTAAAAGGTATCAATCATTTCCCTACTCTCCTGCCATCACCATGGCAACCAGCTAACCAATGAATGTCTGATCCTAGGACCTTATCCTGACTTTGATTATTCAAGATTTAATCATCTTGAATTATTAAAACTGCCATCTTGGTTTTCCTTTGGGTTAAGAAGGAACAAAATATTAGCAAACCAAATTCAACAATACATTTAAAGGATCATACACCATGATCAAGTGGGATTTATTCCAGGGATGCAAGAATGGTTCAACATATGCAAATAATCAGTGTACTACACCACATTAACAAAATGAAGGATAAAAACCATACGATCATCTCAATAGATGCAGGAAAATCATTTCACAAAATTCAACATTCATTCATGATAAAAATGTCAACAAACTGGGTATAGAGAGAAGGTACCTCAAGATAAAAACGGCCATATAGGACAAGACCACAGCTAACATCACATTCAATGGTGAAAAGCTGAAAGCTTTTCTTGTAAGATCAGGAACAAGACAAGGATGCCCACTCTCACCATTTTTATTCAACATAGTACTGGAGGTCCTAGCCAGAGCAATTAGGCAGAAAAAGAAGTAAAGGCATCCAAGTCAGGAAGAGAGAAGAAAAACTGTCTCTATTTGTAGATGATGTGATTTTATATATAGAAAACCCTAAATATCCCACACAAAAAAAACTGTTAGAATTAATAAATTCAGTAAAGTTGCAAGATACAAAATCAATATACAAAAATCAGTTCCATTTCTATGCATTAACAGTGAACTATCAGAAAGAGAAATTAAGGAAACAATCCCATTTATAATTCAAAATTTTAATCTAAGAAGTGAAAGATCAGTGCACTGAAAACTACAAGACATTGATGAAATTGAAGAGGACACAAACAGATGGAAAGATATACCATGGTCATGGATTGGAAGAATTATATTGTCAAAATGTCTGTATTACTCAAAGCAATCTTTAGGTTCAATGCAATCCCTATCAAAATTTCAATGGCACTTTTCACAGAAGTAGAAAAATAATCCCAAAATTGTATGGAGCCACAAAAGACCCCAATTAGCCGAAGCAATCTTAGGAAAGAAAACAAAGCTGCAGGCACCATAGTTCCTGATTTCAAACTATATTACAAAGTTATAGTAGTCAAAACAGCATAGTGTTGGCATAAAAACAGACACATAGAGAGACCAGAAATAAATATATGAATGTATGATCAATTAATTTATGAAAAAGTAGCTAAGAATATACAATGGGGAAAGGATACCCTCTTCAATAAATAGTGCTGGGAAAGCTGGACAGTCACATGTGGAAGAATGAAACTGGATCCCTATCTTACACCATACACAAAAATAAACTCAAAATGGACTAAAGACCTGAACATAATGGTAAATTCCTTAACATTGGTCTTGGCAATGATTTTTTGGATTTGACATCAAAAGCAAAGGCAATAGAAGCAAAAATAAACAAGTGGGACTATATCAAACTAAAAAGCTTCTGCACAGCAAAAGAAACCATCAACAAAATGAAAAGGCATCCTAGGGAACGGGAGAAAATATTTGCAAACCATATATCTGACAATGGATTGATACAGAAAATATATAAAGAACTCATACAACTCAACAGCAAAAAAAAAAAAAAAAAAGAATCCAATTTTTAAAATGGGCAGAGAGACTGAATAGACATTTTTCCAAAGAAGACATACAAATGGACAACAGGTACATGAAAAGGTGCTCAACATCACTAATCATCAGGAAAATATAAATCAAAACCACAATGATCATACCTGTCAGATGGCTATTATCAAAAAGACAACAAATAACAAGTGTCAGTGATGATGTGGAGAAATGAAACCCTAGTACACTGTTGGTGGGAATGTAAATTGGTGCAGCTGCTATGGAAAACAGTATGGAGATTCCTCAAAAAATTAAAAATAGGACTACCATATGATCCAGCAATTCCTCTCCTGGGTATTTATCCAAAGATTTAAAAACACTAATTAGAAAAGATATATGCACCCATCTGTTCATTGCAGCATTATTTACAACAGCCAAGATATAGAAACAACCTAAGTGCCCCAAAATAGATAAATGGATAAAGAAGATGTGATAGATGATAGATAGATAGATAGATAGATAGATAGATAGACAGATAGAATATTACTCAGCCATAAAAAGAATCAAACCTTGCCATTTGAGATAACATGGATAGACCTAGAGGGTATTATGCTAAGTGAAATAAGTCAGACAGAGAAAGGCAAATACTGTGTGATTTCACTTACATGTGGAACCTAAAAAACAAAACAAATAAACAAACAGAACAGAACAGAAACAGAGTTATAGGTACAGAGAGCAAACAGGTGGTTGCCAGAGGGGAGTAAGGTGGAGGAAGGAAAGAAATTTGGTGAGGGAGATTAAGAGGTACAAATTTCCAGTTGCAAAATCAGTGAGTCATGGTTATGAAATACAGTGTGGAGAATATAGTCATAACTATGTAGTATTTTTGTATGGTGACATATCATAACTAGACTTATAGCGGTGATCACTTTGAAATATATAGAAATATTGAATCACTATGTTGTATACGAGGAACTAAGACAGTGTTGTAGGTCAACTATACTTCGAAAACAAAGAAACAAACTCATAGAAAAAGAGATCAGATTTGTGGCTAACAGCGATTGTGATGGGGAGGGGAGAGCAGGAACTGGATGAAGGCAGTCAAAAGGTACAAACTTCCAGTCATGAGATAAATAAATACTAAGAATGTAAGATACAACATGATAAATATAGTTAACACTGCTGTATGTTCTATATGATAGTTGTTAAGAAAGTAAATTCTGAGTTCTCATAAACGGATGGCTACTTTGTATAGAGCTTTCCATGTGCTGGTCTATGAGTTAGCTAGGGTGCTCATAACAAAGAACAACAAACTAGATGATTTAAAAAACAGAAATTTGGGCTTCCCTGGTGGCGCAGTGGTTGAGAGTCTACCTGCCGATGC